TATGATTTAACTTGTGCCTTATTATTACTTTATACTTAATTAGTCCATTAAAATTAACCCAACCCTAATGAAACTGTAACTACAGAACTTTTTTCTGATTTCATGCATATAAATCACATATTATTTTCCTTTTTAAAAAATTATAGTTCCTTTTGAGTAACATATAATGTATTTCCTTAGTTGCTACTAATTTCTATGATTTAACTTGTGCCTTGTTATTACTTTATACTTAATTAGTCCATTAAAATTAACTTAACCCTAATGAAACTGTAACTACAGAACTTTTTTCTGATTCCATGCATATAAATCACATATTATTTTCCTTTTTAAAAAATTATAGTTCCTTTTGAGTAACATATAATGTATTTCCTTAGTTGCTACATTATAAGATGTATTTATCCATTTTGCTAATTCTATTGTATTCATTTCTCACTTGTTGCATTTTCTTCTCATAAAATCCAGTTTTTTTTGGTCTAGGTGTAAAGTAAGTATGATACATAATAACATTTAATAGTTCCAGCACATTTCAAGAAGTAGCTTTGGAGCTGCATCATTGTTAAATGGATACAATCTTATTCATGTACAAACTCATGCTCAGACACACACACATACATTTGCAATATCATTTTGTGTCTTTCTCCTTTTCAGAAGAGGGGGAGAGAGGAGTAAGGGGTTCTGGCTAGAGAGAGCTAGGATTAGAAGTTTGGAAAATTCAGCTTTTAGGCATTTTTTTGACCACACATTTGTTAATCAACCCCACCTTCTCCCATTTCAGAGTCTAGAGGTTGCTTTGCCATTAGTGAATGCTGAATGCTGGCTAGGTTCTCAGGCAGGAGGAACTGAATCCCAGGGATTCAGATAGAGCACTTGGAAAGAGCCTTATAAGAATGGGAGCTGTGGGTTCTACTTCCACGTCTGTTGGAACATCTAGCCTTAGGCAAGTCATTTAATCCTCAGTAATTCAGTCACAGGCTCCTAGAAGCCCACAGCATGCTGGCACAATTGATGGCAAA